ACACCCCCACCCTGCACCCCCCACATGGGGCCCTGGGGTCCAGCCACTGACACCCCCCCTTCACTCTCCCCATGGGGCCATAGGGTCCTGCCACTGACACCCCCACCCTGCTCCCCACCCCACTGACACCTCAATCCCCAGGACCCTGCTCTAGCCCCCAATCCCCCACCCAGCACCCAACCCCAGTGAGACCCCGGACACCTCAGGACCCTGCCCCAGGCCCCAGGCCCCTCCCCCACTGTCGCACTCAGCATCCCGACCCCGACCCTTGATTCTCCCACCTGTTGCCTTTGGGTGAGACTGTGACCAAGCCCTGGGTGCCCAGATCCCTTGGCTGAGCCAGACCTTCCCTGTGCTGGTGCCCCCTGGGTGGGGTGAGGAGGGGATCCCTGGCTGGACTGGGGGATCCCTGGCTGGGCTGGGGGGGTCCCCAGCTGGGATAGGCCGGTCCCCACTGGGGCTGGGGGATCCCTGGCTGGGCTGGGGGGGGGGGGGTGTCTCCAGCTGCTCTGACTGCAGGGGGTCTCTCTGGGCCGCAGTATGAGCTCGGAGCTTGGATGCCCAACTTCCCGGCCACCATGAGACACCCCCCACCCCAGGCCCAGGGCACCACCTCCCTGGAGAGCTACCTGGACACCATCCCGGAGGTCAACAGCACCAGCCTCATCGTCTTCACCCTCTGGGTCATCTGCTGCAAGCCGGGGGACTCGGTGAGGACACGGGAGATAGGGGGCGCTGTGGGGCAGGGAGAGGGGCAGGGGCTCAGCAGGGGGTGATCTCCCCTGGCAGGCAGGACTGGCCCCAGGGCGGCACTAGGGGGCGCTGTGGGGCAGGGAGCGGGGCAGGCTCAGCAGGGGCTGCTCTCCCCCGGCAGGCAGGGCTGGCCCCAGGGCGGCACTAGGGGGACTGTGGGGCAGGGAGTGGGGCGGGGGCTCAGCAGGGGGCGCTCTCCCCTGGCAGGCAGGGCTGGCCCCAGGGTGGCGCTAGGGGGCACTGGGCTGCAGCTGGGGGTGTCTCTTTAATGAGTCGTTCAGCTGAGTTCTTCCCCCCCTTGTTGGCTGCACTTTGGGGGATTCCGTTCAAATGCCCAGAAATTCCACCGCGTTGTTTCAACCGGCCGCAGGATTCTCCTTCTCTCCCTGGCCTGAACTCTTCCCAGTGTTGCTATGCAGCTGTTAAACACCTGCCCCATGCTCCAGGGCATGTGAGGGATCCATGTGTAAACAGTTGCCCCGCTCAAGAGGTGGCTGCATCTCAGCGCTGGGCGAGGGGTACCTGTATAACCAGTTGCCCCAGCCCCAGAGGTGGCTTCATCTCAGCGCTGGGCAAGGGAGCCCTTCCGTGCTGTCACTCACCCCTCTCCCGTTCCCTTGCAGAGATCCCTGGGCACGTACCCTGACGAGCACTTCACGGAGGAGGAGCCCAAGCGGCTGATCGCAGCCTTCCAGGGGCGCCTGGCCCAGATCTCCCAGGAGATCCAAGAGAGGAACAAATCCCTGCCCATCCCCTACCGCTACCTGGATCCCCACCATATCAAGAACAGCACGTCCATCTGAGCTCGACCGGCGAGCCCCAGGGATGGGCACCATGCGGCCGCTGGCAACTCTGTCCCCGAGATCCTGTCCTGGGAGCAATAAATCACAGCCTGGCTCCACTCTGAATGGCTGATTCCGTCTAGTGGGGTGTGACATTACTGACATAACCTGTGACCATATATCAGAGGGGTAGCCGTGTTAGTCTGAATCTGTAAAAAGTAACAGAGGGTCCTGTGGCACCTTTAAGACTAACAGAAGTATTGGGAGCATAAGCTTCAGACTTGCATCTGAAGAAGCGAGGTTCTTACCCACGATAGCTTATGCTCCCAATACTTCTGTTAGTCTTAAAGGTGCCACAGGACCCTCTGTGACCATATAGATCATTGTTGAACCACTGTTATATATTTGCAGCAAATGTTGTACAAAGGTTGTTGTGTAAGGTGTCTATGGAAAGGTTATGGTTTGCTGAGTATGATTATGCTATCTGTGTGTGTGTGTTGTTTTGTAGTTGAAGTTATGAATATTGGCTCTGTTCTTGTATCTCAATGTGTTTTGATTCTAAGTAGCCTCAGTGAAGCATTTGGTCAGCTTCTTGAGAAAGGACTATTCTCAGTAAGTGCCCAGTCAAGAAACACTTAACTGACAATGGACTTTGGGAGACGCCAATCCACATCTGAGCTTTCCTGGGAACGTTCAAACTAACATGTAAACAATGGTGTCGGCCTGCAAACTGAGTCATGCTTGGACATGTGACTTGCCCAGGTGACTCCAGACTCCATCTTGCTACTCTGATTTTCCTTTCTTGGTAGTCCATCGAATCCGATGATGACAAATCTGTGCAGATCATCAGTTGTTGGTCTTATGGTGTGCCCTCTGGTGACTGTACAAGCCAATTCTAGAGGTGCACATTTTGCTGCAGATGGTGCATGGGAAGTTCGCGGTCAGTGGATTGTGCGCTGCTGATGCTCTGTGACGTCGTTCGCGTGCCTCTTGTAGACGCCGGCAATGGTCTTCCTCAAAGGCGATGCAGGTATTTCTGACTGTTGCACACCACTGTGTTCTGTCGCTGGCGGCGTCCTCAAGGTCCCTAGGTTTGATACTGCTGTAGTGCAGATTGGCTTTGATGGTGTCCTTGTAATGTTTCCGTGGACGACCTATATGCCGGATGCCCTGGGAGAGCTCACCATACAGAAGCTGGCGGGGGATTCTGTTGGCATCCATGCGGCTGATATGACTGGTCCAAAGTAGCTGTGACTTCATGATCATCATTTCGATGCTTGTCATCTGGGCTCTCTCGAGGACCTCGAGATTGGGCACTTTGAGAACAAAAGGTGTCTTTCCATGAGCAAGAGACTATAAAAGGTTGCTGCATCTCCTCCGTCTTGTCTTCAATCCTGCTTCTTGCCTCTGGAGGGACTTTGCTACAAACTGAAGCTCTGAACAAAGGACTGAATGACCCACCCCAGCTGTGGATGGACTCCAGAGACTTGATTTGAACCTGAAGTTTATTCCATCACTGCTACAAGCCTGAACCAAGAACTTTGCCATTACTGGATGTAATTGATTCCATTTAACCAATTCTAGCTCTCATCTAGATCTTTTTTCTGGACTTGATTAACTTAACTCTGATGATATTTTTGTAGCAAATTTCAATACATTGGATTTTTTTCCCCCTGAACATTTCTTATATTCCATTTTTTCCCTCTAAGTTTATCTTAAACCCACCTCCCCCGCCCCAAAATCCAATCCATTTATTTTTCTGAATTATTTAGAAATCCACAGATCCTGGAGGGAGAGTTGTGGATCCCAGAAATTGGGGGAGATGTTACCTGTACCCCCAAATATGGCTCGCATAGAAGCAGTTCCGTGCGCAGAACTGCAGAGCTGGTCATTAGGGCTGGATGGAAATAAATAAATAAACAATTCACCTCCCCTGCCTCTGCCCCCCCCAAAAAAGAAAAGAAAAAATTAAAACAAAACATTTTCAATTCTTCAGTGGAAGCCCCCAAATCATCGACAAAAAATATTCAACCCCCCGCCTCAGCCCTAAATACAGAATACTCAAAATGTTCATCAAAATCTTACACTAAAACTCTTGTTTTGCAGTTGGTGCTTTTTTTAGAACAACCCCTTCCCTGCCCCCACCAACCAAATAAATAAATTAACAAATGCAGTCTGGTTTTCTTAGCAGGAAAACCACTTTTTTTTGGGGTGTCCAATAACAAAACAAAACAAAAATGCACATGGAAAAATCCATCAATGGACAAACAAAAAAGCCCTCCTCTGAACCAAAAAACAACACCCCTCTCCCGAAGTTATTGGCTTTTCACCCCCTCCAATGAAAGTTTGAAAAATTTAACTGGAAATGGAGTCTATCACTACAGGGCCGGTTTTCTAACCCTTTAATCCAGGGGTTCTCAAACCGGGGGTCATGACCCCTCAGCAGTGATGAGCTGCCAAAATATTAACAACAGGTTCCCACCTCCTCACCCCATGAGGGGGTCGTGCCCCACCCGGACTCCTGCCCCATCCAACCCCCCATGTTCCTTGAGGCCCCCCCTGGGACCCCTGCCCCATCCACCCCCCTTCCCTGTCCCCTGACTGCCCCCTGCCGCCCCATCCAACCCCTCCTCGCATTCCTGATGGCCCCCCCGGGACCTCTGCCCCATCCAACCACCCCTTCTCTCTGTCCCCGACTGACCCTGACTGCCCCATCCAACCCCTGCTCCTTCCTGACTGCCCCCTGGGACCCTTACCCCCATTCAATCCCCCTGTTCCCTGCCCTCTGACCGCCCCGACCCCTATCCACCCCCCCACAAGCCCCCGAACACCCCTGCCCTCTTCCAACACTCCCTCCCTGCTCCCTTACCGCGCTGCCTAGAGCCGCTCGGCCGGGTCCAGGTCTGGGTCCGCTCAGCCGGGTCCGATCGGCCGGGTCCGGGGCTGGGTCCGCTGGACCGGGACCGGTGCCACGGGACTTAAGCCGAGCCGGGCCGGAGCCACTCGGCCGGGACCGGCGCTGCAGGGCCCGAGCCGGGCCGGGCCGGAGCCGCTCGGCCTGGACCGGGCCCGGCACCGCGGGGCCCGGGCTGGGCCGGACCGGGCCGGAGCCGCTCGGCCGGGACCGGGAGCGGCGCTGCGGGGCCCGGGCTGGGCTGGACCGGGCCAGAGCCGCTTGGCCGGGACCGGGACTAGTGCTGCTGGACCTGAGCCGGGCTGGGGCCGCTCGGCTGGGCCGGAGCCGCGGGGCCCGAGCCAGGCTGGGCTGGAGCCGCTCGGCCGGAACCGGGGCCAGAGCCGCTCGGCCCGAGCCGGGCCAGAGCCGCTCGGCCAAGACCGGGACCAGCACCACGGGGCCCGAGCCGGGCCAGGACTGGGCTGCGGCGCTCAGCGGGGGCCAGGCCAGGGCCAGGGGGCCGGGCCGGAGGGAGCTGCTCGGCCGGAGCCGGACTGGGCTGCGCCGCGCCTCCCTGGAGCCCTCCTTGCGCTCCCCCGCCCCGCCCCAGCTTACCTGCCTGCTGCTTGTTTCAGGCTTCCCACGAACATCTGATTCGCGGGAAGCAGGGGAGGGGGAGGAGAAGGGGGGCAGAGCGTTCAGGGTAGGAGGGGGAAGTGAGCTGGTGCCGGGGACAGGTGCCCAATCTTTTGTTAAATTTAAAAGCCCTTTTAGAACCGGTTGTCCCGGAACAACCAGTTCTAAAAGGGCTTCTAAATTTAACAACCGGTTCCTGCAAACCGGTGGGAACCGGCTCCAGCTCACCACTGCCCCTCACGGATTATTATGTGGGGATCACGAGCCACTCAGGTCTGAAGGCAGCGCTACCGCCAGCAGCAGCACAGAAGTAAGGGTGGCAATAGGGTGCAAAGTCTGCTGTGAAAAGTGATATTGGCAAAGTTTCTTCGCACCCCCAGTAACAGTGACTATTAAAACAACCTTTTCTGCTTATAACAAGAATTCAATAAAAATGTGGTTTAGTCTTAATTTAAAAGTGGTGAGAAAAGGTCCATTCATTTTAAACAACAGGGTTAGAAAGTTAGCATGGGAAATAACGTTAAATATAAAAAATGTGTTTTGAATTTACAAGTGCGTGTGCGGGGGGGGGGTCGCACTCACAGGCTTGCTGTGTGAAAGGGCTTGGCAACACAACACATTTGAGAATTGTTCTCATGGCTCTTCTCTGACCCATCTCCAATTTATCAGCATCCTGTGTGAATTGCGACCACCAGAACTGGACCCAGGATCCCAGCAGTGGTCGCACCAGGGCCAAATCCAGAGGTAAAAATCACCTCTCTGCTCCTACTCCAGATTCCCCCATTTATACACACCAGGATCACATGAACCCTTTTGGCTGCAGCATTGCATGGGGAGCTTGTGTTCGGCTGATTATCCAGGCAACCAGCTGAAATGACATAGGGTAGAAAGAAGCAGAACTATTGGCTGGAAAATAGCCCCAAATTGCAGACAGGTTGCATTGAGATTTGACAATAGATTTAACCACTGCAATAACTTTCTTGGGCTCAGGACCAACCCCCAAGACTATTAGAACGTCAGCCTAACCCCTTGGATCAGGGCCACCAGACCACGGCCCCATCACTTTTAAGAAGGTACATGGAAAACAGGGGCCGGTTTTTGACTGGCCTGGCCAGTTTTTCTGGTCTCCTGTTTGTTCCCAGTCGAGAGACATAATTTGCCTTTTCCCCCCCGTTGCTGGACCAGTGGATTCCTGGAGGGTGGCAGCTGTTGGAAGGGGGTGGGTGGAGGGGCTCCCTCCGGGGTGTGGTGGGGGGGCTCAGGATGCAGTTGAGGGAGCCCCTGGGATCTGTGCCCCGCCCAGCACTTTTCATGGCCCTCCACAGCCCCTGCATTGCCAAATCTATTCCAGCTCTGGTGCCAGACGCCTCTTTTTCGCTCAGTCGGGGGAAGGATGGGTGCGTCTTGTCTCTGCCGCACACGCATCTGTCCTCTTTCACTCCCTTCCTTGGTGCATCCTTCAGGTTTCTCTGGCGCCGTTCTCAGATACTTTGCCAGCCTTACAGTCATCTCCCCCCGTTAAAATGCAGCTGCTTCTGGGGGTG